ACCCACTTTTCAAACTTTTTTGTGTCTTCCCTGAAAGGTTCAATAACCCCTGTTATTCCCTGTCTCCGAACGCTACAATCTAATCTGGAGACAGCCTTGCTGACTTCTCCTAAAACTCTGCTGAACTGGGCTTCTACTGTTCCCTGTTCTGCCATTTTAAAAAAAATCTGGGAAATTAACCAATGCACGTAAATTAAAATTGAAAAAACAGAAAATGTCAAATTACCTTGTTGAGTGCGGTCTGAAAAAAAAATTCTCTTTTCACAACACACTGTAATTAAAAATCGGCACTGTCCTGGAATTATTTTTTAAGTTAATAGGAAAGGTAGGGAAAGATAAGAAAAGGTTTTCCCTACACCACTGTAAATTGAAAATCACAATATATTTAAACTAATTAATGTTAATGTTCAAGGTTCTTTAAAATCGCGCTTATTTTGCAGTTCCTATTTGTAAAATCGGACAGCTGACAGTTCTTGACTTTCCTATAGTCTTCCGAGTGTGTAAAGTTAGGAAAGTTTATATTATGAGAACGGGCGCGTCCCCCTGATTCTAGTGTAGACGGTTTGCTCCAGGATAGAACGGGCGTTTCCCCCTGATTCTAGTGTAGACGGTTTGCTCCAGGCTAGAACGGGCGCGTCCCCCTGATTCTATTGTAGACGGTTTGCTCCAGGCTAGAATGGGCGTGTCCCCCTGATTCTAGTGTAGACGGTTTGCTCCAGGCTAGAACGGGCGCGTCCCCCTGATTCTATTGTAGACGGTTTGCTCCAGGCTAGAACGGGCGTGTCCCCCTGATTCTAGTGTAGACGGTTTGCTCCAGGCTAGAACGGGCGTGTCCCCCTGATTCTAGTGTAGACGGTTTGCTCCAGGCTAGAACGGGCGTGTCCCCCTGATTCTAGTGTAGACGGTTTGCTCCAGGCTAGAACGGGCGTGTCCCCCTGATTCTAGTGTAGACGGTTGGCTCCAAAAGGTGGTGCAGGCTGTTGGTCTGGTTTACGTCTCTCTATTCTGATGACGGTTTTTCTCGACTTATCTTACTCAGCAGGCACAATCATAAACTTGCTTTTAGTTCACCTTTTTATAGCAGTTGCTTATTTGTTATGTTGTAACAGCAGTCTTGTTTTTTAAAGATGTCGAGTACACAAGACTGATCGTTGGTCACGGCATCCAAATATCCTCACACTTGTAAACGGGGCGTCTGTATACATCCCCCAAGAAATAGATGTGCCCAAGTCGGCCAAGTGGAATGAATATGGTTCGCATCTCTCTTCAATCGTACTCAAGAACAAGGCCAGTGATGTAATCAATTACATAAGAGCTGGTTTATTCATAATATTCTCGTCACACACATTTCATAAATTCAATAAGCAATAGTATATGAACACTCCTTATTACTGGCTATTCATATGCCTCTACGAGTTCCTTAACCACTGTTCTGGCTAAACTCCAAGTTTAACATATACCTTCTAAACGAAGTAAGGCACTAGTTTTCTCCTAACCGGTTTCTCTAGCGGTCTAGCCCTAACTGTCTTCTCATGGCGGTTCCGGGGCTAACTCACTGTTCTAGTTAAACTCTAAGTTTAACATATCCTTCTAAACGAAGTAAAGCACTAGTTTTCTCCTAACCGGTTTCTCTAGCGGTCTAGCCCTAACTGTCTTCTCCAGCGGTTCCGGGGCTAACTGTCCTCTCCAGCGGTTCCGGGACTAACTGTCCTCTCCAGCGGTTCCGGGACTAACTCACTGTTCTAGTTAAACTCTAAGTTTAACATATCCTTCTAAACGAAGTAAAGCACTAGTTTTCTCAACTGGTCTCTCAAGCAGTCCGGGACTAACTGTCTTCACATGGCGGTTCCGGGGCTAACTGTCCTCTCCAGCGGTTCCGGGCCTAACTAACTTCACATGGCGGTTCCGGGGCTAACTGTCCTCTCCAGCGGTTCCGGGACTAACTAACTTCACATGGCGGTTCCGGGGCTAACTGTCTTCTCCAGCGGTTCCGGGACTAACTAACTTCTCAAGCGGTTCCGGGGCTAACTCACTGTTCTAGCTAAACTCCAAGTTTAACATATACCTTCTAACGAAGTACAGCACTAGTTTTCTCCTAACCGGTTTCTCTAGCGGTCTAGCCCTAACTCTCTTCTCCAGCGGTTCCGGGGCTAACTTTATTCCCCCGCTTTCCCGCTCTTTCTGGCGTACCTTCTCCATCACTTCTCTGTCACCTGTCTTTGGTGGTCACGTTTGGATGAACGTATCTCATCAGCTGGTCACAGTTCACGGGCACTCGTCGAATGTTTCATCCCTCACTGTCAGATGTCATGGCGGTGTGTTCTGCATAGCTGGCTAGGCCATGGCTTTCTAATCACCTATTTCTGTCATTTCACACAGTGATGGATTAGTACGCCGTGTGGTGGTCTGAAATGTATGCTTGTTCATTTAACCCCTTTCTGCCTATATTTCATTACAGTAAGACATAGCAAACGCCTTAACATATTGCATATCTATAAACCTAGAATAGACCTATACAAAACAAGCTTAGCGTACTCTGCAGCTCAGCTGTAGAATAACCTACCACCGGAAATAAAAAAATATCAATAACCCCTATAGATACAATCATAAACTATTCGAATATTATCTCACTACAGACTATATGCCCCCTTAAAAGATTATAGTATGTTAAGGCTATGATGTATTTCCATGAGATGTCTTGATAATTTTTTAATTTTTTTTTAAACTAAAGGTTATTATTATTGTTTAAAACTGAAGATGCCAGTCGAATGGATTTCAATTATTGCAACTAATATTTAATTGGTTTTGATGATGTTTATATTATGCAACCTTTTAGACTTACATCATTTTTGGAACATGCTTATTATTATACTCTTTAAATTAGAGCACATTCCAGCATGTGTAATTAAGACTTAGATATTGTAATGTTGTTTTTTTTTCGCCCTTTTTTTCAACTTTTCTATATTTCTTACAATTTTAATTTTGCATTCCTCTTTTTATTATTATTATTATTATTATTATTATTATTATTATTATTATTATTATTATTATTATTATTATTATTATTATTATTATTATTAACTATGAAACGAGGTACAAAAGAAAAATTGTATGAATGGATTTGAGTGGAAGGGCAGAATGTTAGACGGGCCTGCGTGCCCAATTCTTAACCTTTTGTAAAAAAAAGTTTGTTCGTTCAGTCGTTCGTTCGTTTGATTTCGACCCTAGTACCAAGAGCTGACTGCAATGGAAAACTCCTGAATGTAGAATTTGCCTAGAAAAACCTCAACAGCCACAAAATGTGGGGGTTGGTTATGCAACGTCCTGAAAAGGAAATACAACTAACCTTTTTTTTAAAAAAACTGGCAAAGGTTCTACCTTGTGAGTTTGTATGCGCAGGGTGTCCTTAATGTCCAGTATCAACCGTCAGACTGGTCGACCCCTGCCACTTATTCAAGAAACTACCTCTCACTAATGTTCTGTCCATTTTTAAGAGCATCGTTTGCATTTAAGAAATAATAAAGATTTAAAAAAAAACTCTAGACAAAGAAGACAAAATGATGACCACATATGTACACAGACACACAAACACACACACACACACACACACACACACACACACACATATATATATATATATATATATATATATATATATATATATCACACACATATATATACACACACACATTCCACAGATTTACAAGACGCTTTTTGGTTACAGCCGGAAAATATTATTTCCTTAGGTAATTATCTTGCCCTGACATCGGAAAATGTCATATACCCAGTTAATCATCTTTTGTTGAGTTTGGAAAATTGCCATGCCCCGAAGTTAGTCATCTGCTTGCTAGTCAGTCAGTTACCGTGGACTTGACATTACTGAACACAGTCCTGGGAAGCCGTAGTTAGTAATCTGCTGGCTAGTCAGTCAGACACCGTGGACTTGACATTACTGAACATAGTCCTGGGAAGCCGTAGTTAGTCATCTGCTGGCTAGTCAGTCAGACACCGTGGACTTGACATTACTGAACACAATCCTGGGAAGCCGTAGTTAGTCATCTGCTGGCTAGTCAGTCAGACACCGTGGACTTGACATTACTGAACATAGTCCTGGGAAGCCGTAGTTAGTAATCTGATGGCTAGTCAGTCAGACACCGTGGACTTGACATTACTGAACACAGTCCTGGGAAGCTGAAGTTTGTCATCTGCTGGCTAGTCAGTCAGACAACGTGGACTTGACATTACTGAACATAGTCCTGGGAAGCCGTAGTTAGTAATCTGATGGCTAGTCAGTCAGACACCGTGGACTTGACATTACTGAACACAGTCCTGGGAAGCTGAAGTTTGTCATCTGCTAGCTAGTCAGTCAGACACCGTGGACTTGACATTACCGAACACAATCCCAGGAATACTTCCTAGCTTCACAGCTTACACAGCATCAGTCTATACCAAAAATTCAGTAAATGTTTGTTTGATAGAGTGATTCCAAAACTGTGAGCATATTAACAGGGGCGCCGCGAAATATTGTAAAAGCTTTATAATTAATTTAATCAAGACAGTTGGCCTAACTAAAAAAACAAACAAATTAAGAAATTATCTAGATTTTGAGTGTGTGATTTTTTGTGTGTGTGTTGGACCCTGTATAACGGCGCCCATATGGAAGTGCTTGCGTCAAAGCTTCTGAGTCCTGCACTGAATCAGGTTTTAGAACGTGTGGTGATTCTAATTTTATAGAATTTCATCCATTGAAACCTGTGTGAGGATATGGGAGCCAAACATTTGTCATTGTTGTACTATAGCAGTGTACGAAGGCACGTACCACATGTTAGCTACTATTACTGATACCAGATTACGCCGTGTAGATTCTGAGACGCGATTTGTGTATGTGTCTGTGTGTGTCAGCGGGTGTGTTCGGCGGTGGCCTAGAGGTGAACCACAACACAGCGTGTCAACGAAACTTTAAAGTGCAAAAACAGAAGCCGAAGAAGAAGGCAACTTACGGTGTCGGTCACATCTGAGCCTGGTCTTAGCGCCATCAGCAAAATGTATGGGCTCCAGTCGGTTTCTAGCAGGTGGGAAATATTTCCCTGAACTGTCGCAGAAAATGTATATAAGTCTAGGTTTGCCCGGGCTCCGGTATCACAGGGGGTTATTACTCTGGGATTTGTGAGGAGTATTCTCTGACAAACAGTCCCTAAAGACACAATATCAGTATCACGTAGTTAATTGGTGTTGTTGTTGAGGTATTTTTGTGTTTCAAAATGAGTATATTTTCTTGTATAAAACTGATTTTAGAATAGGCACATTCAGAAAGGTTGCGGTAGTCATGTGTTTTTCATTGTTCAGATGTCGAAGATTTATACTGTGGATCTTCTAATTTTTTTTCTAGAAACTCGTCTGCTCTTCGGCTAGTATTTTTTTTCAGATTTTGCTTTCCATCTGTTAAGCAGGATCTTTAGCAATATTTTGCTTGCGTGGGGGATAAGATCAATAGTTCTATAATTGTTGCAACTTTTCAGACTTTTTTTCTTTGGCAGTGGAATCACCAACGATTGTGTCCATTCATTGGTCCACTTTGTTGCTACTCACATTCTCTGGCACACTTCTGTCATCCGAATTTCACAAGTCCAGCTGCGACATTGTCCACACCTGGCGATTTACCATTTGTTAGTGAGCGTATCGCCTACCTTAAATTTCTCTCTCAATGTTTCAGCGTCGCCAACTTCTATATTTTCTTAAACAATACGGTCTGGGAGTTTTAGTGTCAGCTTTTACTTCTTGATTATATATGTCTTTACAATACTCCGTCTATCTCTCAAATATTGCTGTTTTTTATTTCCTGTCTAGTACTTTCCTGTGTATCAGGCATTAGGGGCTTTTGTGGTTTCGTTAGTCTGTTATTGCCTCGTAAGCTGTCTTAGCGTTGCTCTGTTGTAGACCAACACTGATAGACTCACACTGGTGTTTAATCCATTTTCTCTAGCCATCTTCACTTGTGTCGGTACGTTCCCTTTTACTATGCTAAATTGCTCTGCTGCTGCTGCTGAAACATCGAATTAATTCAAAGATGTCACCTGTTATCCATGCTTTACCTGGTATCTTCTTTGTTTCCAAAGATTTATTCTGCTGCATCCAAGATTCTTTCGTTCAAGCTTTGTGTCCCTCGTTCACGCTTTGTGTCCCTCGTTCACGCTTTGTGTCCCTCGTTCACGCTTTGTGTCCCTCGTTCACGCTTTGTGTCCCTCGTTCACGCTTTGTGTCCCCCTCGTTCACGCTTTGTGTTCCTCGTTCACGCTTTGTGTCCCTCGTTCACGCTTTGTGTCCCTCGTTCAAGCTTTGTATCCCTCGTTCACGCTTTGTGTCCCTCGTTCACGCTTTGTGTCCCTCGTTCACGCTTTGTGTCCCTCGTTCACGCTTTGTGTCCCTCGTTCACGCTTTGTGTCCCTCGTTCACGCTTTGTGTCCCTCGCTCACGCTTTGTGTCCCTCGTTCACGCTTTGTGTCCCTCGTTCACGCTTTGTGTCCCTCGTTCACGCTTTGTGTTCCTCGCTCACGCTCTGTGTCCCTCGTTCACGCTTTCTGTCCCTTGTTCACGCTTTGCGTTCCTTGTTCACGCTTTGTGTCAGTAAATTAACATCTTCTTCGGGGGTTTGAATAATAAAGCAATAATAAGAAATTGTATGGTCAAATATAGTCAAAGGTCTAAGTGACAAGTGTCATGTCGACACACTCAGTAAACATTGCATTGCCTAAGGGCCCTAGCAAGTTCACATGTTGTCTAGTTCTGTAACTTTGTTCTTCAAATTGGGAGAGCTGCTTGGTCTCGAGGTATGGGGTCTGCCTCGAGTGCTGGAGGTTCTGGGCTCAAGCTCCCGAGAAGGCTACATTTTTCTCACGTGGACTTCTAGTAATTTCCCCTGGTGTATGGGTAGTTAGATCGGACCCCATGTATACTGTTGCGCACGTAAATCAAAATTCCTTGGAAGTTGAAAATCGAAAAGAGTAGCCCAAGAGCGCTGCCCGGGGAAAATTAGGAGTTTAAAATCTATCCAGAGTATTTCAGGATCCTCGCCGGTAGTACGGAGTTCGTGCACTGGACCGAGCTTCTTCAGACTCAGGCTTGAGCTAGAAGTAGAACGGAACACTAAGGGGTTACTGCCTTTATGCCGTGATGTTGTTTAAACCCTAAACCTTAAATCTGAAACCTATTAGTGTAACCTGTTTATTCGCCTGCTTGCTCATCGCTAAAGATGAAACATTTATAGGAGATAAAATATTAGGTGTCTAAACAATAGGAAAACACTGAGATAATGTAAAAGGCAAATGTAAAAATAGGTATACTCAATTCTGATTTTAGGGCACACATTGACAGGTCACAATAAAAAATGTGAAGAGGAAAGAGACATGAAGCAATCAGTTATGATTAATTTGAGTTAGACAGAAGATGATTTGACGGGCTTCTAGTACTAAAAGGTGTGGGCAAGTGGGACATGAATGATACGATTTGTGTGGGATTCGCGGTAACAGGATGTCACTGATCTCGCTGCACTGAAAGTAAAGAGAGACATCGAAATGAACATTGATTGCAAATAGGATACGACCGGGACGTTTGAGGAGAAATGCACACGACACTCGATGCCAACGATAGCTTTATTTGCCGTACCGTAGATTCTTTCTCAAAGCTATCTGGTCTTGCTAACCACACTGACTATTGTCATGGCGGTGATTTTTCTATCTCTTCCTTTGCAAAGTCTAATGATATCACCGGAAGCAACTGTGGTGTAGCGGCTAGTCGCTCGACTACGGATCCAAAGGTCGTGGGTTGAAATCCGCATAGTGCCTCAGTAGTTTTTCCCAACATGACATTGACTCCCGGGCCGACCTTACATGGCGACCAGGTAGAGTCATGGGAGATAACGGAAGCCAGCGTGATGTTGACCGCATCAGCCACAGGCCGTTTGGTCAATCAAACATGAGTTGAACATCGTCTGTCAGATACATCGCTGGCGAGCACAGGCACCATCTCTTTTGACTTTTACTTAATTATATCAATTGAAAAGTTTGGAAATTGGGTACCACTTAATCACTCAAAGACGCACGCACACACTCACGCACACACACACACACACACACGCACACACACACATACATACCCACTCACCAATTTACATATACCGATAGAAAATAGCAAGCAACGCAAACACACAAACATAAACGCTCACATACACACACACACAGCCACACACACACACAGCCACACACACACACACACAGACACATAGCCACGAATATCAATTAAGTTAGAAAGACAAAAAAAACTGGAAACGTTTACCTTTGACAATCGTCAACATTAGTATCATTTGAGTTATCATCTGCATGTTGCTTCATCTACAGGTAACATCTCTTGTATCTGCTGGTTCTGACAACAACAACAGTTTATGTATATATATATATATATATATATATATATATATATATATATATATATATATATATATATATATATATATATATATATATATATATATATATATATATATATATATATATATATATATATATATATATATACACACTATGTATGTATGTATGTATGTCGGTAGGTAGGTAGGTAGGTATGTGTACAAAAGATGTCACCGACAAACTAAAGAGGCACTGATTCAGACATGACACACGTGACCTTACAATAGTGAAACAATTGGCTTCATTATTATTCTCATCTTCTGATATTTGTACCCCCAAAGGTGCACAGGCCTTCATCAAACGATTCTGCCGTTTACACTCACGTGCACGTAATCCCACGTCCTTCTGGTCGTTGCCACAACATTCTCTAAATCTTTTTTATGTGGGGGAGGGAGGGTAGGGGGAGTGAGTGTCGTGTAGATCAGGGTGTTTGTGGAGGAGGGGGTGTCGTTTGAGTCTGGGTGTTTGTGGGGGAGAGGATGTCGTTTGAGTGGGGGTGTTTGTGGGGGAGGGGGTGTCGTTTGGGTGGGGGTGTTTGTGGGGGAAAGGGGTGTCGTTTGGGTAGGGTATTTGTGGGGAGGGGGGTCGTTTGAGTGGGAGTGTTTGTGGGAGAGGGGGTGTCGTTTGAATAGGGCTGTTTGTGGGGGAGAGGGTGTCGTTTGGGTGGGGGTGTTTGTGGGGGAGGGGGTGTCGTTTGAGTGGGGGTGTTTGTGGGGGAGGGGTGTCGTTTGGGTGGGGGTATTTGTGGGGAGGGGTATCGTTTGAGTGGGGGTGTTTTTGGAGAGGGGTGGTATGTTTTTGTTCCCTATACATACATTTGAGTGCAGCAACAGCCAGTCATTGTGTCGTCATGTTTTTGTTCCTTATACAGTGCAGCAACAGCCAGTCATTGTGACGTCACGTTTTTGTTCCTTATACAGAGCAGCAACAGCCAGTCATTGTGTCGTCATGTTTTTGTTCCTTATACAGTGCAGCAACAGCCAGTCATTGTGACGTCACGTTTTTGTTCCTTATACAGTGCAGCAACAGCTAGTCATTGTGACGTCATGTTTTTGTTCCTTATACAGTGCAACAACAGCCAGTCATTGTGACGTCATGTTTTTGTTCCTTATACAGTGCAGCAACAGCCAGTCATTGTGACGTCATGTTTTTGTTCCTTATACAGTGCAGCAACAGCCAGTCATTGCGACGTCATGTTTTTGTTCCTTATACAGTGCAGCAACAGCCAGTCATTGTGTCGTCATGTTTTTGTTCCTTATACAGTGCAGCAACAGCCAGTCATTGTGACGTCATGTTTTTGTTCCTTATACAGTGCAGCAACAGCCAGTCATTGTGACGTCATGTTTTTGTTCCTTATACAGTGCAGCAACAGCCAGTCATTGTGACGTCATGTTTTTGTTTCTTATACAGTGCAGCAACAGCCAGTCATTGTGACGTCATGTTTTTGTTTCTTATACAGTGCAGCAACAACCAGTCATTGTGACGTCATGTTTTTGTTCCTTATACAGTGCAGCAACAGCCAGTCATTGTGTCGTCATGTTTTTGTTCCTTATACAGTTCAGCAACAGCCAGTCATTGCGACGTCATGTTTTTGTTCCTTATACAGTGCAGCAACAGCCAGTCATTGTGTCGTCATGTTTTTGTTCCTTATACAGTGCAGCAACAGCCAGTCATTGTGACATCATGTTTTTGTTCCTTATACAGTGCAGCAACAGCCAGTCATTGTGACGTCATGTTTTTGTTCCTTATACAGTGCAGCAACAGCCAGTCATTGTGACGTCATGTTTTTGTTCCTTATACAGTGCAGCAACAGCCAGTCATTGTGACGTCATGTTTTTGTTCCTTATACAGTGCAGCAACAGCCAGGCATTGTGACTTCATGTTTTTGTTCCTTATACAGTGCAGCAACAGCCAGTCATTGTGACGTCATGTTTTTGTTCCTTATACAGTGCAGCAACAGCCAGTCATTGTTTCGTCATGTTTTTGTTCCTTATACATACATTTGAGTGCAGCAACAGCCAGTCATTGTGACGTCATGTTTTTGTTCCTTATACATACATTTGAGTGCAGCAACAGCCAGTCATTGTGACGTCATGTTTTTGTTCCTTATACAGTGCAGCAACAGCCAGTCATTGTGTCGTCATGTTTTTGTTCCTTATACATACATCTGAGCGCAGCAACAGCCAGTCATTGTGACGTCATGTTTTTGTTCCTTATACATACATTTGAGTGCAGTAACAGCCAGTCATTGTGTCGTCATGTTTTTGTTCCTTATACATACATTTGAGTGCAGCAACAGCCAGTCATTGTGTCGTCATGTTTTTGTTCCTTATACATACATTTGAGTGCAGCAACAGTCAGTCATTGTGACGTCATGTTTTTGTTCCTTATACATACATTTGAGTGCAGCAACAGCCAGTCATTGTGTCGTCATGTTTTTGTTCCTTATACATACATTTGAGTGCAGCAACAGCCAGTCATTGTGTCGTCATGTTTTTGTTCCTTATACAGTGCAGCAACAGCCTGTCATTGTGTCGTCATGTTTTTGTTCCTTATACAGTGCAGCTACAGCCATTCATTGTGTCGTCATATTTTTGTTCCTAATACAGTGCAGCAACAGCCAGTCATTGTGTCGTCATGTTTTTGTTCCTTAAACAGTGCAGCAGCAGCCAGTCATTATGACGTCATGTTTTTGTTCCTTATACAGTGCAGCAACAGCCAGTCATTGTGTCGTCATGTTTTTGTTCCTTATACAGTGCAGCGACAGCCAGTCATTGTGTCGTCATGTTTTTGTTCCTTATACAGTGCAGCAACAGCCAGTCATTGTGTCGTCATGTTTTTGTTCCTTATACAGTGCAGTAACAGCCAGTCATTGTGTCGTCATGTTTTTGTTCCTTATACAGTGCAGCAACAGCCAGTCATTGTGACGTCATGTTTTTGTTCCTTATACAGTGCAGCAACAGCCAGTCATTGTGACGTCATGTTTTTGTTCCTTATACAGTGCAGCAACAGCCAGTCATTGTGACGTCATGTTTTTGTTCCTTATACAGTGCAGCAACAGCCAGTCATTGTGACGTCATGTTTTTGTTCCTTATACAGTGCAGCAACAGCCAGTCATTGTGACGTCATGTTTGTCTCAATGACTGAGCAGGAACAAGAATCAGACTTGTTTAGAGTTCTAATCAGATTGGACCGAGTGTTTAGTGAGACTGACCACGAGGAATCAAACACTGAGTCCAGACAGTTCTCATCCACGTGAAAGTGCTGTGAGTGTCTGTAGGGACTGCTCTATGAACAAGTGCACGATGGTTCGTAGCAAACGCGAATGAGTGCACTTAGAGAAACAAAAAACGGCATATGATACAATATCTGCTTTCACAATTAAAGTGGGACCGCCTACTACAGCCTTCTGCATGTCAAGTCATTTACACGGCATGTCAAGTCACATACACGGCATTTCAAGTCACATACACGGCATTTCAAGTCACATACACGGCATGTCAAGTCACATACACGGTATGTCAAGTCACATACACGGCATGTCAAGTCACATACACGGCATGTCAAGTCACATACACGGCATGTCAAGTCACATACACAGCATGTCAGTTACATACACGGCATGTCAGGTCACATGCACAGCATGTCAAGTTACATACACGGCATGTCAAGTCACTTACACGGCATGTCAAGTCATATACACGGCATGTCAAGTCACATACACGGCATGTCAGGTCACATACACGGCATGTCATGTCACATACACGGCATTTCAAGTCACATACACGCCATGTCAAGTAACATACACGGCATGTCAAGTCACATACACGGCATGTCAAGTCACATGCACGGCATGTCAAGTCACTCACACGGCATGTCAAGTCACATACACGGCATGTCAAGTCACATACACGGCATGTCAATTCACATACACAGCATGTCAAGTTACATACATGGCATGTCAAGTCACTTACACGGCATGTCAAGTCACTTACACGGCATGTCAAGTCACATACACGGCATGTCAGGTCACTCACACGACATGTCAAGTCACATACACGGCATGTCAAGTCACATACACGGCATGTAAGGTCACTCACACGACATGTCAAGTCACATACACGGCATGTCAGGTCACTCACACGGCATGTCAAGTCACATACACGGCATGTCAGGTCACTCACACGACATGTCAAGTCACATACACGGCATGTCAAGTCACATGCACGGCATGTCAGGTCACTCACACGACATTTCAGGTCACATACACGGCATGTCACGTCACATACACGGCATGTCAGGTCACTCACACGGCATGTTAAGTCACATGCACGGCATGTCAGGTCACTCACACGGCATGTCAAGTCACATACACGGCATGTCAAGTCACATACACGGCATGTCAGGTCACATCCACAGCATGTCAAGTCACATACACGGCATCAGGTCACTTACACGGCATGTCAAGTCACATACACGGCATGTCAAGTCACATACACTGCATGTCAGTTACATACACGGCATGTCAGGTCACATACACAGCATGTCAAGTTACATACACGGCATGTCAAGTCACTTACACGGCATGTCAAGTCACTTACACGGCATGTCCAGTCACATACACGGCATGTCAAGTCACATACACGGCATGTCAAGTCACATACACGGCATGTCAGGTCACATACACGGCATGTCATGTTACATACACGGCATGTCAAGTTACATACACAGCATATCAAGTTACATACACGGCATGTCAAGTTACATACACAGCATGTCAAGTTACATACACGGCATGTCAAGTCACATACACAGCATGTCAAGTCACATACACAGCATGTCAAGTTACATACACAGCATGTCAGGTCACATACACGGCATGTCAAGTTACATACACGGCATATCAAGTTACATA